TGGATGGATGGATGGATGGATGGATGGATGGATGGATGGATGGATGGGAATTATATTTAATGTAGAAAATCAAATTTCTACTGCACATAATATTGTTGATGGAATTATTATGAACTGATACACTGTATTATTAAAAATCAAAAATGAAATTACAAAAAATATAAACCTGTTTTTGTAACTCCACCTTTGTCACAGATATTTTTTTCCATAACTTTTATGAATGGATTTTAGGCAATGCTGTGTAGTAAAATCTTTCCAGTTGAGTAGCATTTGGATTTTGCTTTCACTTTTTGCAGATGATGTGTTCTTGTTGGCTTCAACAAACGATGACCTCCGCCAGTTACTGGAGTTGTTTTTAGCCAAATTTGAAGCATGCTGAGAGAAAATTTGTCCTTCCAAATTTGAGACTTTGATCCTCAGACTGAAAAGGGTGGATTGTCATCTCTATATAAGAGGTACATGCTATTTTCCTCTTTGTGAAACACGTGAAGTATCATGAGGCCTCTTGGGTAGAACAGACCTGAGATTGTGGCAGTGATTCCAACACTAAACTCGTTATTTGTGATGAAAAAAGATGTTCTGAAGCCAAAGCTGTTGATGTACTTGTTGACCTACAGTCCAACCTGTTTACATAAACATATAGTGATGGCCATCTTGGATTTTGATGTAGTACCCAAAAATTTGAAAGAAAACTTTCTTACACCTAGATGCAGCAGCACACCAAAAAGGATATTTGCCGGTGGCTTATTTTGTTATCTAACTCACAAAGTTTACATATGTTGTATATATTGTATGGCAGTGGCCTTGTTGGAGTCTGACATGGCAACATAATTTTAGAAAGGCATCTTTCCTATGCCTACACGCAGCCACACACCACAATTGAAGTCGTTACCTCATTTAATTTTTCAATTCATTGTGCTCACAACATTCACTGACTGGTGGACAAATGGTATTTCCAATTGTCCCCCTTTCGCTCTGCGACAAGGGGCAAAAATACAAAAATCAAGGCAAACGCACAGCAACAACAATAATAATAATATGTGAAAATGAGAGGTAGCATACAAAAGGTACAATTTTAATGAAAATGATTTTTAATGCACCTGCAAAGCACCATTCCATTTATAAAGTTGCAGACAATAATTTCAAGCATGAATAAACAGTTTATGCACAAGAAATGTATGTCTATATTGTTATTTCTTTTATTTTATTTTTTTATGAAGTCAGAACATTGTCCTAAATTCAATGGAAGTGTGACCACCAGTAGTTGTACAATTACTTGACCTCTTCTTTAATTCACTGTTAAGAAACAATTAACGTAAGAACAATAAATAAATGGCCATAATCAGTAATGATGACATTAGAGTGCATTTTAATTACGTACTTTTTGTAATACCACTTGTTATTTTTATGTTTTCTGATTAACTGATTAGTTTTAACCTTCCTGTAGTGTTAAATTTCTGCTGGGGTCAGTTTTGACCCCAGTCTTAAAGCAATAATCAAAGCTTATTAATTTATCTTTACTTGGTAACACAGGATACCAGTTACTGCTTTTCCCTTCTGTGCAGATTTTTTTGGGAACTATGTGTATTGACAAAGT